CCCCTGCCCCCCTGCCCCCCTCTGCTCGTTCATTGCCTTTGTCTGTTTCTCTTGCTTGCCCTTTGCTTGCATCAGTCATCCTGACCTATGTGCGGCCGAAAGCCGAGATTCTGATCTTCTGCCCGGTGACGGACACCCAGCGGGCGGTTTACGAGTTTGTCATCGGTAGCTCGGCCCTGAGCAGCATTCTGGTTGCCTCGGCGGCCAGCTCGGCCCTGCACCTGACCTGCTTGACGCTCCTGCGAAAGATCTGCAATTCGCTGTCCACCCTGGACCCGGGGCGCTTCCTGCGCATGCTGACCGAGCAGGCCGTCACGGCCGGGGCCCCGGAGTCTCTGGTCGCGCAGCTTGACACCCGGGCCGCCTCGGTGCCCGCCGAGCTGGACGTAGATGTGGATGGGGATGTCGATGGCAATCCCTCCGAGGAGGAGGCTGCCCTGGGGGCCAGCCTGGCGGACCTAGCCCGGCGGCGGGCAGCCGAAGTACTGGATGCCGCGGCCGGTGCCACGCCGGCCGACGGCCAGGAGGCCATTGACCGGGTGCGCGCTTTCCTTTGGGGCTGGAGCTCCAAGCTGCGTGTTGTGTCTTCCATCCTGGCCAGCTCGCCCGGGGAGAAGGTGGTCATCGTGTCCAGCTTCACCGAGGCGCTGGATGTGCTGGAAACTCTGTGCATTGTCGAGGGGGCGGAGGCCCTGCGTCTGGATGGGCGGTGCGTTGCCCTTCTGGGGCCCTTCTCTCCCTTGCTCCCCTTCCCACACCGCTGCTTCGGTTTCCTGCGACTCCCTCTCACAGGGTAGCATGCTCCCTTGTGCCTGTTCTCCGTGCAGCACTCCGACCGCCAAGCGCCAGGAGATTGTCGACGTGTGCTCTTCCGATCTTCTGGGGCCCTTCTCTCCCTTGCTCCCCTTCCCACACCGCTGCTTCGGTTTCCTGCGACTCCCTCTCACAGGGTAGCATGCTCCCTTGTGCCTGTTCTCCGTGCAGCACTCCGACCGCCAAGCGCCAGGAGATTGTCGACCGGTTCAACGCCGGGTACAGCGATGTGCGGGTGTTGCTACTGTCGGCGCGCGCCGGCGGGGCGGGCCTCAACCTGACCGGCGCCTCGCGCCTTGTGCTGTATGACATCAACTGGAATCCGGCCATCGACCAGCAGGCTATGGGGCGAATTTGGCGCGAGGGCCAGCTTCGCCCGACCTTCATTTATCGACTCTTCTCGGTGGGCACCGTTGAGGAGCGCATCTTCCTGCGACAGATCGCCAAGGAGGCGCTGTCAGATGCGGTGGTGGTGCGAGCAGCAGCCTTCCCCC